TTATTATATTTATATTTTTAATTTTATTATAGAATATTTATATTTCTATAAATTAATTAAAAAATTATAATTGTATTGGATGTAAAATTAAAATATTATTTTTATTTAAAATTTTCTTTCATATATATATATTTTTATATTTATTTTATAGAAATAAAATTTAAATCAAACTAAAAAAAACTATTTAAAAATTTAAAATTTGCAACTTATAGCATTGTACTTCTTCTAACTATTTTCAATAAAATTTTTAGTGACATCTGAAAACACTAACTTAAAATTTGGTGTTTGAACTTAGAAACTTTTTTTAAAGTATAAAATATTTGTTCACTAAATTTAAGGTTATTTTAAAATAAATTTAAAACAACGAAATTTATTTATAAAAATTTGCACACACACACTATATAGTAAGCAAATTTTATTATAGAATAATAAAAATTCTATGTACACTTAAAATATACAATTTAATGTATATTTCAATTAAATTAAAAAATATATATATATTACATTATTTTGTTTTTAAAATAAAAATTTGTAACTTTTAGTTTAATTGAAATATAAGTTTTATAATATTTTATAAATATTATGCTGGCGGGACGTGTTAGCTGGTGGGGTCGCCTTTTCACAGGTCCATCCTTACCCCGTAACGGTCAATTGATAGTCCCTCTCTTTGCTGTTTCTTCTTTGTTTTAACTCTCACCGACTCCGGAAGCTCGCCGATATTAACGCAGATATCTCATCTGCGGCGTCGTATCGCATGTCTCCTCCGAACTACTATTCTCGGCGATAGGCTGGAAGGAGATCTAGATACGGTGTCCTTTCATCTATCGTTTCTGCGAAGAAATCGGAAATGGGAAGAAAACCTAGTGGCAGCAGTAGCGGCAAGAACAGTGAAGAAACAATGAGCATATGGATTCCAAACCCTTGCGGTTACTGTGGATCCCCTGGCGCTACCAGTATCGACAAAGGTCTGTTTTTTTTTTTTTCATTTTTCTTCTTTTTTGTTAATATTTTTCCCAATTTTTGTTCTTAATTGTTGAAGTTCACTTGTCTGATTTGCTAATGTGTAAACCATCTCCGATTATTCGAATTAATGGTATTTTTCTGATTTTCATTTATTTATTATATGTCGTGCTTGTTTCTGCAGGTTTTTCTATAAAAACCATTTCAGTTGATGATTATCAAGGTTGGTCTTTTTCCCCCTTTCACTATGGTTTAGGAAACAGTTGTTCCACTTGCAATTATTCTCAAGTATGGTAGATGTTGACTCATATTTTCTAATTCTATTATGAGTTCTTGCGGTGGTCTTGATCGATTATGAATTCTAATATTTTGCAGAAAACCAGCATATTGTTTGTAAAGCATTCTATTGATTTCTCTCTGAAATTTTACCTCTGTTGTGTTAATCACCAGTAATTTGATCAAGGTCTAGTTTTTGTGCGTGATATGATCATGGCTGACGTAACTAGGAGAATGAAATGAGTAGTGGTCTGTGAAAATTGAGAGAGCTCACCAGCTTTTCGCGGGTGAATTTTTTCTTCTTGAGTCGATTTGTTGGGCGAATTACTTCTGAGTTCTTCACTTGATGTTCGTTCATCTGGTGAACATTTCAAAACAAGCCTATGTTCTTGTCTTCAGTTTTCCTAGTTTATTTCTTAATTGATAACTTTTAATCGTAGCATAACATCCCTTATTATGTGGCCTTTGGTGTGGTATAGTATTTTCATTTGTCAGAAACTTCTCTTCTTTTTTCCGGTAATTCTAAAGCCGGATGATAGGGGCATTTGAACACTCAAGTCTCTTTATGGAGAGAGGAGGAGGTAATGTAACCACGTGAACTATTACTAATGGTTCATTTGTTATGTTTTTATTTGATTGTTTAATGGGTAGATTATCTTGATCGAGGCTGGGAGAGATCTGGCTGTTTGCTCTACAAATCTGATATGAGGAGGACATGCTGCCCAACTTATACGATTCGATTGAGGGCAAGTGATTTTGTTCCTTCGAAGGAGCAAGTTCGAGCGCGTAGAAGAATGCAAAGGTATACTTACTTTTTTTTTCGCTCATTTTCTTCCCAGTTAGTTTTTGGTTACATGGCATATATACTATTTTTGAACACCTTAAAATGAAAAGTCTGCCTTCGTTTCCTGGCTTTATCATTTTTAGGCCAAATTTCCTTAGCTATATCATCTCAAGTAGAAAAAGCCCTTTAGATGGCAACAATTTGCACCATCCATATTTGAGTACATTGATATTGCTATCTGGCTCACAGTCACGGAATTTGTTCTTCTCTTCAACTTTTAGGAGCTTGATTACCGCTTCACATTAAGTACTAATAATGATCTATGCTTAGGTTTTTAGATGGCCCATGGGATGGCAAAAAGCCTGTTGACAGCATAGGCGATCCAAATACTTCTAATGGTAATCATGGCCATCATGAAGTTACAAACTCAACAGGAAAAAAATCTTTCTCTGTTAAAAATGAAGAAAAGAAGGAAGAACCAATTATAAATTATTTGTCCGAACAAATAGACAATGCAGTAATTGCATGCTCTGAAAGTGAAGAATTTCCTTCCAATATTCAATTACCGAAAACCGCCGTCAAAAAAGTTTTAGGAGCCAAAAGGAAACTGCTGACTGAGGGATCGGAAGATCTTTCGTATTCCAGCAACATTGCATTCCAAATAGTAGCTGCTTGCAAAAGAGCAAAGTTGGCAGAGAAGGACGTTCAGGACTTAATAATGCCGATACATAATGCAGAAAACAGTCTCTCTCCCGTAATAATTGCTGAAAAGTTGGCAAGTTTGATGTATCATTTGGAAGAAACTTTTGGCCTTTGTACAAGGGCTTGCAATGGACATATCAACTTTTACTCTGTTGCAAGAGATGCTTCACCAGTTAAAGATGTTCCAGTTGTTAATGCATCTGAAGAATCTGCCGTAGGCAGGAAAAGAAAAAATCTCTGCTATAGAAAATTTTCTCACTGTTCTCAGTTCAAAAGGCGGAAGCTTGAGATCCATTTGAAAAGGTCCAGTTTTGATCCAGAAGAGTTTTCATTGTATAGACGTTACCAGATAAAAGTGCATAATGAGCCTCCAGATTCTGTTACAGAGGACTCATACAGAGAGTTCTTGGTTGATACTCCTTTGTTGTTTGTTCCACCATCTGATGATCGTAAAGTTCCTCCTTGTGGCTTTGGCTCTTTCCATCAGCAATATTTGATTGATGGGCAACTAGTTGCAGTTGGTGTCCTAGACATCCTTCCTAGATGCTTGTCAAGTAAATACTTGTTCTGGGACCCAGAGTATGCCTTTCTTTCGCTTGGAAAGTATTCTGCTCTAACAGAAATAGATTGGGTGAAAGAGAATCAAGCACATTGTCCTAGTCTTCAGTTTTATTATCTCGGTTATTACGTGCACTCCTGCAGTAAGATGAGATATAAAACAGCATATCATCCATCAGAGCTTCTCTGTCCTCTTCGTTACCGGTAAGTTAATATTTAGGTATCTCAGTGAATGCTAGATCATGCTAGTTGCATATTACATACGTGGTTTGATATATTTGATCTAATACAATCTTGGTTTATATTTTTCATTTGGTTTTTCGAGCCTTTTTTATTTTATTTATATTTCTGATATCATGTTCATATGATGTTTCTAGAGTTTGATTTCTTGTTAAAAAGCTTCAAATCTTGTGGTAATCCGCAATATCCTTGATATATATTATAGAGATCAGTTATTGTGCATCATGAATTTCCTCCAGTTATTGAGTGATAATAAGATAGCTTTATCCTGCTTGAATGTATGTGGTTTGCAAATCAATTATAGTTTTCAGAAGTTGGTTAAAGAAGAGAAGGAAAAATGATTGTGCTTAGAAAACACAAGCAAAATAGGATTTCAACTAAGATGGTAAAGAAGGAAAAACTGTAAGAATAAAGAGTTTACATGGAACCTATTGTATATATTTGTCTTTGAAATTTCTGCAACTGAAAAATAACGCAATGATTTAGAAATGTTATTTTTGAAAAGTAATTGACCTTTTTGCACTTATACCAAAATTGAAGACTATCTGTTTTAACCACAAAAAACCAACTCTGGCTATGTTCCCGAGTTTCTTTTGCGCCAATATGATATCATGTGCAACTAAATGATTTTGTCCTTGATGTCAGCTCTGGAAATGTACAATTTGAATGAAACTTTTTCGTTATTTATTGATAATGTCGTTTTATTTTAAATTAATTATTGAAACCTTATGAGCAAAGTGATATTTCCAGGTGGATACCATTTGATATTGCAAGGCCTTTGCTTGATAAAAAGGGATATGTTGTCTTGTCAGATTTTGCCTCTTCGCAAGATGGAGAATCCTCGCCCTCTTCTCTATCCGAAAGTGACATGGAAGAGCAACCATATATTGATTTCAGCAAGGCAAACTTGATTAAGTTGCTTATGGAGGATGATGATGACGACTTGGATGATTGGCTTATGGATAATGATGAAGAAGTGACCGGATCTGAATCGGAATCTAAATCTGAATCTGACTCTGACTCTGACTCTGACAGCTCCAATGATTAATTCGTTCAGGCAACCAATAATCCAACATCGTGAACCTCCAGTCCTGTTTCAGGACCGAAAAGCTTTGAACAGCCAGTTGACATGGTACCGGTTTTCTGGGAAGGAAGAAAATTGGTACTGGAGATGAATGTTTTGTATTCTTTATAAGGTCTGATTTCTCATGTATAGGATGCTTTTTACTTATTGATCAAGTCATCAAACTGTGGGGTAGGTATTGTCAGCATGAGTGGTGTATACTTTATAGTTGAAGCTTAATAACATCAAATTGAGTTCTAAACCAATCCAAAACTGAGGTGTTAAAGAAATCTTCCAACCCAGAGATGATCAAGAGAAAGACATTACTTGCCAATTCAATTAGTAATAAATTTTTGGAAAATTACTTGTATATTTCATTTGTTCAAAATAGTATTTGACACTGTAGTACAAATACTATTTTGTATGGCAAGGAAACAACCTGTTCTTCCAAGTTTTTAAGACGTGTATGGCAAGGAAACAACTAAAATTCTCACATGAGCAAAACACATCACGTCTATAACATCTTTCTTTGCCTGCAAACGTGAAATAAAAGGAATATACCGAACAACGCCTTATTCTTCTAAAAATGGGAATGAAAAAATCTAGAACTTTAGAATATAAGTCTTGTTAAACCTTGACTAACCGTTGGTAATTCGAGTAAATAAGCTCTTGTTTTTCAATTTCTATTAATTTCAAGATACATTTTTAAAGTTCTCTCCATCATAATATGTATATATAAAACCCATTTCCTCACGTTCTTTTCTAGCCATCAGAATCAAGAGGATAATATGCTGGAAACATTGATTTGCATAACAAAATCAACTTTAGTTTAAAGAGGAAGCAAATCACCATTGACAATAGAATGTTACGACTGATGTTATTCACAGCAAACTAAGCAAGCTGCTTAAATGGAGGAATCTATCAGTTTTCAGAATTAACAAAGAAGAAGATGCAGGATTCTGGGTGGAGGATTGGAGATCAAAGAATGTACAATTTACGGTTGAAGTAAATGTAGTCATCATGCATCATCTGCATCACTTCCACCAACATGAGCTTCATGAGTAATCAAGTAATTGCTTCCATCAGGACCTGAGACCTTAAACCTGCTCAACATTAAAATGTGCTCAACCTCAATCAAGAACATCACCTATGCGGCTAAAACCACAAGGAGAATGTCACTGCAAACTTGAGCTCACTGACATTAATGGTGATCACTAGGTAACACTAGTGTTTAGATTACTGTTGTCAATCTCGGGCTTTACAGTAACACTATCCAAACAGAATTCATATTAACTTTTGTCTCTTGTGAAAATCTAGTGGTCTACTGACCGTTCAAGTACCGATTTTCCTTCTTTGTACTTCTCGGCTCTTTTCTTGCGCAGTAAGTAACTAACACCAAACATATATAACCACGATTTTTTTTTTTACGTACGATTTATTTTTTAATCTGTCACAAATAAATAATATTATTTATTAATTACAGGCATGTCTTTGATCCAATTATAAGAGAG